CCGCGCGCCGAGGGCGGGCCGCCCCTGTATTTACAAAAGGAGGCGGCGCTGGGCGGGCGCGGCGGCGGGGAGAAGACGGCCCGCGCTGGACGGACTGGCGGGAGCTGGTCGCCACCAGCTAGCTGAAGGGCGCTGTCCTGCGGCGGCCGGAGGCGCGCCCGGCGCGGGTGTGCAGACCGGCCTCGGGGCCGACCTGGCCGCTTCCGCGCGGGTGTGAGCGTGGATCCGGGAATAATGAGCGCCCGGCCGCTTCCCTGGGCCTAAGCCCTTGGGGGTGAGGGGCAGAGTTGGGCTGCTTCTCCGGGCTCTCCGAACTCTGCGTTGAGCCGGTCCAGATCCTGGCTACAGGAAGGGAACCGGATCCCTTCAGGGCCTAGGGCTCAGAATTCAGCAGGGGGTAGTGGGGGGGGGCGCGTGAGGAAAGGAGGCGCCAGTGTACCGTATAGACTCCCCGAATTTCCCGCCGCGCCCTGGGCCACCTCTCGGTCAGGGTTGGGTCCACCCAGTCACCGGGCGACCCTCCCAGCAGTAAGAGACTTGGCTGCGTCAAACCCTCCTTACCACCAGTTCATGGAGACACCAGATCATAAAAACGTGTGTTCACTAGAACTAAGGTGTTCTCACCAGAGCCACTGAGGTATAGTCTTAGCTGTGAGACTGAAGCCCTAGATCTTGTGCCAGCTCAGCTGTGTGCCCTCTGCATTCTCAGGAAAACTCACAGACCTCCTTTGCCATAGAATCCTGTCCCCAGTTCTCAGTCGCTAATGATCTACAGGAATTAAACTGGTAACTTTCCCTGCCCTTGAAGCAGGAGTTTCGGGATGGGTTTACTAATCCCAGTGCTATTTGTAACCTACCCCGTGACACGTGACACGTGTCCAACTGTACCAGTTTCCACACCAGAGGTCAGGTCTCTGTGGAAGGTGAGTCAAGGGCTCAGCCCAGCTGGGAAGCACGGGGAGCCTGGGGACTTCCCATCCAGGCACCCTCTCCCCAGCTTCCTGTCCACTTTGCCTGAAACCCAGTTAAGAGTCAAGGCCTGTTTACAGTATGGTTGCTTTACATACCTAGTGTAGCAAGTTGTTCCCCAGCCATCTCACTGAGAGTGAAGAATAAGCTAGACTTTAATTCCCAGCAGGGAGGAGCCTTTATAAAAGGATTCAGAGGTTAGCAAAAAGGAAAGTTGTTCCCTGGACTCCCAGGGTTGGGATGGGAGAGGAACACATTGGACAAGTCCCAGCCCTTGGGCTTGGCAGGACACCCTCTCCCTTGCCCCCGTGGCCAAGTGTGACCTTTTTTACAGCCAGGATGCCCTGCTCTCTGTGAACTCTGCCCTCACACCCACTGGAGATGACGGCATGACACGCTTACAGCGGCACACCCTGCCTGGTGCTGGTTCTGAGCTTGTGTTTCTACGCTGTTTGTCCAGCAACTCCAAGAAAGCTGGAGCCAAAGGGGATGGAGAGCTAAAAACTCGTTTTTCAGTTGAGAAAACAGGCTCAAAGGTGCAAAGTGACCTCCAAGGTTGGTCTGATAAGCAAGGAGGCCTGAAACAGGGGACTGCTGTGCTCTGTCCCTCCCAGGCACACCACCCCCCAAAAGACACACACAGCACCACAAACTCAGAAAGTGGCACTTTATTGCATAACTTTTTGATCATTATGACAGCACAGGTGCTGCATCCTGAGGCCATGACAGCACGCTGTGGCCGGGTGGAGATGGCCTGCTCTAACTGTCAGGATTTACCACCTTCTCAAGGGCCTCGGATCTGCCCACCAGCAAGCAGATAAGCCACAGCAGTGGTGGGCCCAGCATTAAGAACACAGGCCCTGGCTGTGAGCTGATGGTCTCCACAGGCCTGAGAACCACTCTGGTGTAAAGGATTCCTATCTCTGTTGGAGACTCTTTGTCCCCATCACAGATTATTGGGGGGCAGAACAGGCAAGGGGTGATATTAGCATATGAAATGGGCTGAACTGACCCATTTCAATTTTTTTCTAAGAATAGCCTGGGTCTTTTTTTTTTTTTTGACCTTTAGTTGAAATTATAACATTTTTAAAATCAATCTATCAGGGTTAAATGAGGTACATAGATTCACAAAGTTTAAGACTAATAGTACTATATTTACCACAGTGAAAATGAACCAAAATAAAATCCCTTAAGCCTTATCTACTACTTAATGGTTTTCATTGAGACATCCTAGGGGGTAGAGTAAAGTGAGGGCAGGAAGAGGAAATTTCTTGTAAATTAAATTACAGTAAAGTTCTTTGAAAAACCTGTTAGAAAGTTTAAGTGAATTTCCTTGAAGTCTAGACAGTAGAAACACCCCCCTCCCCATTAGCTCTGAATAGGCAACTTGGGTGAATTTCCGTATCCAAAGACAAGATAGTAGAAAGTTTGAGTGGTTATTTAGAAACTGAAAAGAAGGCTATGTGAGATATCAATCAGCCAATTGTAAGATCACTTTTGACTTCAAGAGGAATTTCTCACCCTGATGCAGTGGTTGCTTGTCTGGGGCAGGTAGAGCCTTATGAGGCTAAGGCAATCCAATTGTAAACCAAAGATTACTCAGAATATTTTGATATTATGATTAAGCAAAAAAGGGAGGTCATAATGTAACAGGTACAGGTTTCATGGACTCCGCCTCTACTCCAGGTGCTGGAACTCCAAATCCCATCAGTACCAAGAAGAAGCACGCAGGGACGTGAGGGCGGAGCTGAGCAGCCAGGTTGGGATAAAACCGGACATGTGGGCTCTGGGGGGCTCTTGGCCTGGTGGTTCGCAGCTGATCGTTTTGGCGCTCAGTCGGTTTTCAGCGTGCCAGTGGAGTCCAAGTCAGCAGAACTGGTAGGACATCCTAGTTAACCTGTGTTTCTCTCCCTCTTTCCCTGGGTTATCCCTTTACCTTTCTCCTTATAAATAAATCCATTATTTAACCTTTGTCCATAATACGATTGAATCGTAAGCACACGGGTGAAGACCCACAGACAGGCAACCCAATTCACATTGGGGTGCCCTGTAACAATAACATAAGTTAGCATGGAAAGTCTGATTTATCAGAGCACTTCCGTCTCTATCCGGAATATGTCAGTCAATAGAGGTTGCATAACTTGTGTCATATCTCCTTCCCCTACTCACTCTTTCCTTCTCTCTTTTTGAAACTAAATCTCTGACTGTGTAGAGTGGGGACCTGCAAGGGGCCTGTTGCTGCGGCTGCCCCTCTGGTGCCACATGACTGCAGGTAGGCCACACATGACGGACTTGAATGTCCTGGCACCAAGGACAATCAGATTAGCCTCCACTTGGGATTCTGCTGCTTGCTCTATTTGTGTCTTTTGGAGCCTGTTTGACTAATTTAGACTCCTTGGAAACCGATCATCATCGATCAAGTGTGAAAGACACACTCAACCAGCTTTCAAGGTGCGTATCTTTGTAGCAGATGCTTCTTGGGAAAGAGACTAGGTGATCTAATCACTAAAACCCAGCCATCCTGGCCCTCCCTGGTGGCACAGCGGGTTAATGCACAGCACTAAGAAGCTAAAGCCACTTCAGCACGAGTTCAATCCCGCCCCAGAGGTGATCACATGGCGCGGCAGACCTCTCCTGACCCACCCACTGCTCCCCTCAGCAGTGTACTTCGTCAGCCGGCCTGCTCTGCTCCCCACTCTGTCTCTGGTGAAGCCTCTCACTGCCCCTGCACCTCTGGCCTGTGCCCCAGCTGTGTATACATAACTAAATTTTTTTTTAGATTTTATTTATTTATGCATACAGAACTGGGGTACAAGCCAGAGGTGCAGGGGCGGTGAGAGGTTTCCCCAGAGACAGAGCAGGGAGCAGAACAGGCCGACTGACCAAGTACACTGCTGAGGGGAGCAGCGGTTGGGTCAGGAAGGGTCTGCTGCGCCATATGGGTCACCTCCAGGGTGGGATCGAACTCATGCTGAAGTGGCTTTAGCTTCTCAGTGCTGCGTTTACCTGCTGTGCCACCAGGGAGGGCCCACATAAATAAATTTTTAAAAGTCTTTTAAAAAAAAAACAAAAACCCAGTGATCTTTCCCAGACTGTGTGGTATTGGAAACAGATAAGCCCCTGCAGAATCCTTAGAAAAAATAGCATCAGAACAAACTTACAAGGTGAGTGAAGCCTATACCCTGAATTTGGGAAGTAAAGATGGAGGGTAAAGCTGAAGCATTCATTTACTCGCTCACTTGGCAAACACTGATTGAGTGCTGACCTGGTGCCAGTAAACAAAGAGCACTATCCTTTCCTTTGTGGAACTTATGTTGTAAGAGAAGAAAGCCAATCGGAGGAACATGTAAATGGCACAGAGCTTGTGTGAGAGAAGGTGGCAAGTACCATGGAGAAAAAGAAGTGACAGGTGACTGGGGAGAGCTAGGAGATTCCCATTCCGATGGCGGTTAAGGGCATTTCTGAGAAGGTGACGAGGCAGTGAAACTTGAAAGGATCGAGAAAGCAGCATGCCATGTATTTGTCACTGCAAAACAGGCTACCCCAAACATGGACACTTGCAATGTAAACAATGAAGGTTTATACTCTTTCACGGTTTCTGAGGGCTGGGACCAAAGAGGGGCTGGACTGTGGGCTCTGGGGTGTCCCTAGGGCCACCGTGGAGCAGCTAGCTGGGGCTCCATCATCTGAAGGTCTGGCTGGGTCTGGAGGGTGGCACAGCCCATGGCTGGGGTGGGGTTGCTTCCTGGTGGGCCTCCCGCCGCAAAACTCCCACACCGCGTGCCTGCTTGAGTCTAAGAGCTGAGTCACTAAGTC